AGTAAGTATCTATTATGTCGGCACATAATCCGGATGATTGTAGTGATTTATATATTTTGTTTAAATACTCATTTGTAATGTTTTTATATTCACAAATACACATAGCACATTTATTATTTAAATATCTGGAACAATAAAATTTAATTCTTACAAATGATCCATCATAATGAGAATATATTTTAGATATTCTAACGCAAAATGGAATTTTAACACCATCTTTGTATAATGAAAAAGGCAGCTTTTTTAATACTGTTTTTATGTACGGACAATCACATAACTTATATTTGTTTTTACTTTGTTTGTATCGTATGGTCATTTCAGTGACCATATGCTTTTGTAACACCATAAATCCATTTGGGTTGATAGAATCACTAAATAAGTATAATATATCCATAGAACTACCATATTTTACTATACCAAATTGTTTATTTTTAAGTTTTCCGTTTTTGTCAGAAGTGCCAATGCACTTGCATTGTACTAGGTTGCTAAAATCACACATTTGCCTTAGTGAAAATTAGAAAAGTATATTGATAATATTTTAAAATAAAAAAATCTACAGTTACTTTTAATAAATATACATCATTTGTGCTTTCTTATGTAAACACTTGTTATATCTACACATGTCTTGACTGATCGTAGTGATTTATATGTCTTGTTTAAATACTCATCTATAAAATTTTTAAATTCGCAAATACACATAGCACATTTATTATTTAAATATCTAGAACAGTAAAATTTAATAGTTATAACTACTTCAATTTTATGAAAGTTTTCCTTGGATATTCTAATACAAAATGGAATTTTAAGGCTATTATTATATAATAAAAAAGGTAACTCTTTTAATATTGTTTTTATGTATTCGCAATTATATAAATCAAGTGCATCTTTGGTTTCATCATATCGTACTACCATTTCGGTGACTATGTGCTTATGTGATACCATATAAACCCACTTGAGTTAATAGAATCACTAAATAAGTGTATTCTATCTAAAACACGGCCATATGTTACTGAACCAAATCGTTTTTTTTTTAAGTCGTCCTTTTTATCAGGAGTGCCAATGCACTTGCATTGTGATAAAAAACTAAAGTCACACATCGCCTTAGCAAAATCAGCAAATTGTATTAATAATATTTTAAAAATGAAAAAAAAAATCTACATATCACTTACATTAAATACACATTATTTTGGCTTTTTTATATAAGTTTTTATTATGTCTACACATTTATTGGACGAATGTAATGATTTATATTCATTGCTTAAATACTCATTTATAAATTCTTCACGTTCGCAGATACATATGGCACATTTATTATTTAAATACCTAGAACAGTAAAATTTAATATTTACGAATAATCCAACCGTATTAAAGTTTTCCTTGGATATTTTAATGCAAAACGGAATTTTAACGTCATCATCATATAATAAAAAAGGCAACTTTTTTAACACTGTGTTTATGTACGGACATTTATATAACTCATTTTTGTTTTTAACTGTGTTGTATCGTATTAGCATTTCGGTGACTATGTGCGGTTTTAATACCATAAACCCATTTGGGTTAATAAAATCACTATATAAGTATATTCTATTTATAGCATTACCATATTTTATTGAACCAAATCGTTTTTCAATAAATATTCCATTTTTGTCCGGAGTGCCAATGCACTTGCACTGTGCTAAAAAACCAAGATCACACATTGCCTTAGCAAATTAGCAAAGTGTATTAATAATATTTTAAAAATGAAAAAAAAAAGAAAATATACATGTTACTTATAATAAATATACACTATTATAGCTTTATTATGTTAGCATTTAATATGTCTGCACATAATCCGGATAAATATAATGATTTACCCGTATTAATTAAATACTCATTTATGACTTTTTTACATCTGCAAATACACGTAGCACATTTATTATTTAAATATCTGGAACAGTAAAATTTAATAATCACCGATAATGCATTAGAACTATGTGGGTTTCCCTTAGTGATTCTAATGCAAAATGGAATTTTAACACCATCATTGTATAATAATAAAGGTAACTCTTTTAATACTGTTTTTATGTATAAACAATCACATAATTCATTTTTTTCCTTAATTCTTTTGTATCGTATAATCATTTCGGTGACTATGTGCGACTCTAATACCATAAACCCCGTTGAATTAATAGAATCACTAAATAATTGTAATTTATCTACAGCACAACCATATTCTATTGGGCCGAATTCTTTTTTAGAAAGTTCTCCGCACACAACTGAAGTGCCAATGCACTTGCACTGTGCTTGGTCGCTAAGGTCACACATTGCCTTAGCAAAATTAACAAAGTATGTTAATGATGTTTTACAATAAGAAAAAAATGAAAAACTCACATGTTACTTATAATAAAATCATAGGCATAATAGATATACATTATTTTTAATTTCTTACGTAGTAATCTACTATGTCTGCACATATTCCGGATGACTGCAGTAATACATATGCATTGTTTAAGTATTCTTCTATATATTTTTTACGTTCGCAAATACATATTGCATTTTTATTATTTAAATATCTGGAGCAGTAAAATCTAATAACTACTAACATACCCGGATCATTAGGTGGTTTTTCCTTGGATATTCTAATGCAAAATGGAATTTTAACACCATCATCATATAATAAATAAGGTAAATCTTTTAATACTGTTTTTATGAACGAACAATGATCTAACTCATTTTTTTTTTTAAATGTGTTGTATTGCACAAGCATGTTAGAAACTATGTGCAAGTGTGACACCATAAACCCACTTGGATCAAAAGAATCACTAAATAAGTACATTTTATCTGTATATAAACCATATTCTACCGGGCCGAATTGTTTTGTAAAAAGGTCTCCTTTTATATATAAAATGCCATTGCATTTGCACTGTGTTTGGTGGATTAAATCACACATTTGCCTTAGTAAAATTAGCAAATTATATTAATAATATTTCAAAATAAAAAAAAAAAGAAAATTCATATGTTACTTATAATAAATATACATTATTATGGCTTTGTTAGGTAAGCATTTACTATGTCTGCACATTCGTTAAATGATCGTAGTATTTCAAATGTTTTTCTTAAATAATTATTTATAAATTCTTCATATTCGCATACACACATGGAACTTTTGTTATCTAAATATCTGGAACAATAAACTTTAATAATTACAAATATACCATTAATATGATATGGGTTTTCCTTGGTTATTCTAATGCAAAACGGGATTTTAACGCCATAGTTATGTAACATAAAAGGCAAATTATTTAATACTGTTTTTATGTATTGGCAATCATATAACTCAGTTTCGTTTTTAAGTTCATTGTATTGTAGTACCATTCCAGAAACCACATGAATATGTGATACCATAAATCCACTTAAGTTAACAGAATCACTATATAAGTATAATTTATCTGTAGAAAAACTATATTCTACTGGGCCAAATTCCTTCCCAAAAAGCTCTTTTCCTCTATCTGGAGTGCTAGCACACTTACATCGTTCTAGGTGATTAAAATCACACATTGTCTTAGCAAAAATCAGCAAAGTATATTAATGATATTTTAAAAATGAAAAAAAAAGAAAGAAAATCATAAATACTTATTTATATTTTTAAAAAATCACTCCAAATAGTAACTATAGCAATACATATCAATGCTGAATTTTATGTGACGAGAAGCAGCACAAACACAGTTTTTTTTAAAATTAAATTTATGCTGCAAACAATAATATTTAACACAAATTGAATCAAATTCATTATCTTGTTCCTTTTTAATACCAATACAATATGGAACTACAACACCGGCATTATAAATAAAGTCTGGTATATTATTCATTATATACTTAATAATAGGCATGTTAAATGTATCAAGTTCAACCCCAGCATCTCTAGACGTAATAACTGAACTTACAGGTACTTCACAGGTGTCTAAATAAAATTTCTTTGTTACTTTAAAAGTACTATAAAGATAATATATACACCCCTCTTCAGTCTGGCATTGTCGTGTGGTGTAATTAGATTCTCCCCATATGTATTCTTCTGTAGTTTTTTGTAAATAGTCACGATTATTATACATACAGACTGACAATGGCTTTTCTAAGGTAGGTAAGTCATATACATGAATTAAGTCTAATTCTTTTTGAATTGACGGAATGTATAAGTTTTCTTCATTCATTTTGGTGCCTTTAATTTGCAAGATATGTAAAAATAATAAAATAAATCATTGTAGTCATTTTATGCACGCTATTACGAAAATAATTAATTGCAAAAAAAAACACTGGTTATAAATTAATTATTATTAAGAAAGCTTTTTTAGGTGGTCTTAAACAAGGGGTTTATTAGGGCGTGTAGTTCTTCTTTGTGTGAGCAAATACAGTCACTTTCATAATTAAATAAATATCTTAAACAGTAAAAATTAATTAAAAAAGATGATCCACTTTTGCTTTCAAGCTCATTAATCATAATAACAAATGGGACTCTGCATTTACTATTGTACACAAATGATGGGGCTGTATCAGTAATATATGACACAACATAGTCTTTTAAAAAATCTGTAAACAAAATGGGTGTTTTGGATGTACAATGAAGAGCTATAAGAAACCCCTTGTCCCACGTAAGTGTTGACTTAGGTATTTCATGGTCCAAATATATGTATATTTTAGAGTGTTCACGTTCCGCCATTGATTTTCTCATTAATACATTAGGCTTAAGGACATCAGGTGTATTTATTTTTTTTGTATTATTAATATTGCTGGAACACACACATTCTTCCATTTTGTACTATAACGTATATACTTTTTAATTCGCTTTGTTAAATATATCATATAAGGAAAAATAAAGCCAAAGATATTTAATTATAAAATATATAAAAAAAAATTTTTTTATCTAATAATTTTGACTACAATGTTATATATATATATATATATATGTGTGTATATTAATATAAATGGTATTTGATATAAATTAATACATTTAGGACATATCTGACCCAGACAAACTTTTCAGTTTAGTTTGCCAGTTTTTTATCCTATATTTTCGTCTGTTTTCTCTCATGTCACTCTTATCTTTGTGGGAGTTGTCTAGTTTTGATTTTAGGTGCTTTATTATTAAGTCTTTTGTGGTAGTTCTTATTCGTACGCGAGATTCTATTTCCTTATACATTTGTTTTTCCATTTCCACTTTTAAATGCAATTTATTTAGTTCTTGCAGCGGCTTTTCTGGGTTTTTTAACAGTAACCGGTCAGTTTGTTGTGATTTTTTTTGATTCATTAAATTTGGCCTTATTTGCGTTGGCTGTTGCATTAGTGCTTGGCCTTGCTGTAACATTTGCATTTGCTCTTGTTGTTGCTGTATTGGTAATTGGTATTGAGCTTGCTGTAACATTTGCATGTACATTTGCTCTTGTTGTTGCTGCATTGGTACTTGAACCCCCTGTTGCATCATTTGCATGTACATTGGTACTCGAGGCACCCCCTGTTGCATCATTTGCATGTACATTGGTGCTTGAGGCCCCTGTTGCATCATTTGCATGTACATTGGTGCTTGGCTTTGCTGCATCATGTTCATGGGCACTTGAGGTGTTTGTAATCCCCTCATTTTTAATAATGGCATACCTTGTGTTTGCTGCGTGTTTGTTGTTTTTTTTTTTGTTTGTGGTGACCATATTGGTTGCTTTTGCTGTTTATTTTTATTGTATCTTATCCAGTCAGTATATGTTAAATCACCACTCTGCAAATTTAACACTGTATTTAGCATTTGTGGTGTTTGCAATATTTGTATTCCATATGGTGCCAAAGTACACACATGACCAAATGACTTATAACCCATTTGCGTTGGGTCTTGTGTCACTGGTATGGTTTCATGTAATGATATAAATGCAGGCCCCCCTGTTGTTTGATTTTTTTTGCTTTCTGTTATCTTATTTAAGTTATCAATATAAAACAGGGTCGAAGTTGGTGACATTGGTTTTTGCTGATTTAAATTTGAAGTTGAAGGCATTGGCTCCTGCTGATTTAAATTTGAAGTTGAAGGTGTTGGCTCCTGCTGATCTAAATTTGAAGTTGAAGGTGTTGGCTCCTGCTGATCTAAATTTGAAGTTGAAGGTGTTGGCTCCTGCTGATCTAAATTTGAAGTTGAAGGTGTTGGCTCCTGCTGAGTATTTTGCGCGTGTACATTTATATGTGTTGATTCCATATGATTTATATATTCATTGTATTTTTCATAATCACTAATGAGTGATTTATTAGGTGATGAATCACCATCAGTAGCAAATTCACGATTTAATCGGTTAATTAAATTATATATTTTATTTTTCGTCGGACAAATACATCTGCAGTTAAACTTATATAAGGTACGTAAACAATAAAAATCAATAGCAAACGAGTCAAAAGAATCATTCCCTATTTTAGCAATGCTAATGCAAAATGGCACTATAACATTGTTATTATAAAGAAATTTAGGAATTTCATGTATTATTAACCTGATTAGGTCGTGTTGCACAAATTCACTAATACTGGGCATTTTAACACCAGTAAAAGTTACTGACAGCGGGCATCCACAACTTATATTTGTAAGGTCAAGTGTTTCATCAATGGTGTTCAGACTAGTGTCACAATATACGTAAACAACTGATAGATTAGAGTTATTATATGTTTTCATACATAGTGTGCCACCTGGGCAAAACCAATGAGGCTTAAACCTCTCGCCTGGGTGAAGGCAAAGACAATCACCAAATCGCTCAATTATTTCGTCCTTAGAGCGCATTAAAATCCGTTTTTCTTTTTTGTTTTCCATTTTAATATCTGTCATTATATGTCATTAATAATGAGTCTAATAGTAAAAAAAACAATAAAAACAAAAAAATCACAATAATGGCCGTTTTTATAAGCTAGACCTAAGCTGCAATGACCAATAACACCAAAAAAACATAGTTATTTTTTGTCATTACCATTATGTATGTAAGTATTTTTTTTTACAATACTTATGTAGACATATTAAATTAATGTATTACCACAGTATTGTTTTTTTTTAGGTGCTACCAATAACATTTTTTTTATTATTACTATATATGTATATAATGCATATTGGCATTAATGGAAGTTAATAATGAGCAGCAGGTTTATTTGGCCATGCAAAATGCACAAGCTATTATGCAACAAAGTTCGAATTTTGACAATGATTACCTTAATAGTGAGGTGACTAAATTAACAACACTAACAGTTAACAAAAATCCAAATAATGTTTCTTACTTTAATCCCAATTACCTTAGTTATTATGGTTCAAAACAAACACAACCCCAGCAGTCAAAAATAAACACAATTGCATCTCGTGGTTATAGCACTAGTCAAATTAATGATATAAACCCATACCAGGCATTAGGAATAACTACGACGGAACCTTATGATTATAAACATGGCCACACTGGTGATGTAGAACCACATCAAACATTAGGGGCAAATATAACTGCACCTTATGGTTACAGCACTGGCCACACTGGTAATGTAGAACCACATCAAACATTAGGGGCAAATATAACTGCACCTTATGACCACACTGGTCATGCAGCACCATATCAAACATTAGGGGCAAATATGACTGTACCTTATGGTTACACTGGTGATGTAAAACCATATCAAACACCAAAAATAAACAAAACTGCATTTTATTGTCATGGCACTAACCCCACTAGTAATAAAACACAAAAAACAGGCACAACTGCATCTCGTAATAATAACAATAACCCCACTAGTAATAAAACACAAAAAACAGGCACAACTGCATCTCGTAATAATAACAATAACCCCAGTAGTAATAAAACACAAGCATTAAAAAAAAATATTAGTCAGAATCTACGATTTTTATATCAGTGCTGTAGTATTGCTGGGAGGTTTACTTTTACTTTGCATGAAAGTAAACATCCTACCATTAAAACAAATAATAACAAAGATAACTATAATGATCATAAATTAATAAAACAAGAATTTATAATCGATAACTCACATAGACTAATTTTGTTTAGTGATTTTTTAATTGAAAATAAAATGATTGTATTACCAATTATGCCTCTTTGTTCCACTAAGATACAAACAGTTGACCATCACAGTTTAGAAACAATAAAAGAGAATAATTCTATAAAAAAAATTATTGAACATGTTTCATTTATTGTGTACAACTGTAATAGGCGAATACCATTTGGTTTTTTATTTTCGTATGAACAGGGAAAATTTGGACACTGTTTTACTATTAATATACACTGCTTTCGTAGCATGTGCAAAGTAACTGGTTCTTGTGTTTGCTCATCAAAAAATGAGATCATGGAAATAATAAATATTTCTGCTAAACATACTTTATAAAAAAACATTAAATGTATTTAATAATACATGGTAATAATAATTTAATAACAAAAAAAAACAAGTTCGTTTTATTAGCCAATTTGCATTAGTATATTATACTAATGCAAAACAGCAATTAAATCATTCATTACCAAAAATTATACATAAATAGTTGTTTATACTTAGCTTTTTTTTTGGGTTTTAGGCAATTTATTATTTTTGCTGTGTGCGTTATAAAAAAATAAATCAAAATTTTTCTTATAATATGCATACATTCCTTAATAATAGCCAATACATCTACTTTGTTATATTTATTATTTGAATACCTGTTGCTTTATCTTTTTGTTGTTTTGCGTACTTACTAATGTCCACATAAATACAATCGGTGATCACGCAGATACAATCTACCCTTTTATCATCATTATACAACATAGATCTTAAGCAATAAAATTCAACAATTAGATCACTGACATCCCCGTTTTTAACCACTGTGACACTTATGCAAAACGGAATGTTTCTGTCATGTGTGTATATTTTACCAGGAAAATATGAAAGCAATTTATTAACAATTTCTATGTCCCTTAACGAATTTAAAAATGCCATTTTCTGTAACTTAATACAAAATGACACAACAGGTTTTTTGTTATTTAAAATGATATTGTTTTTAATTTCAGATTCGCTAAAAACATAAATTGCTGTATTTGTACTTTTATACACACTTAATATTATCACCGTTTTATTATTATTATTCATTTTACATTGCTCACCAAAATTACCTAATGATAATTCCATTATAACACATTATAATATATTATTATTATAAATAAATAAAACATGACCATTATTTTACCAAAATCTGTTATTTATACAATAGAATTCACGTGATTTACAATTCTAGTTTTTATGACATTTTTATAATCACAAATACAATTGTGATCTGAACTATAACCCAATACGCTTTTAAGACAGTGAAACAAAATAATTAATTCATAGTTAGGTTCTGATATATTAACTGTCATGGAAACACCAAACGGTACAAAAACAATGCCGCCAATGTCAATACATAACACAGTTAAAATGTAGATAAATATGTGGTTATCTACGATTAAATATATATCACGCAAGTTTAACGTTTTAATATTTATTTTAATAATTGAACTTACTGGGGATATTATTTTGGGCATTTTTGCGCCGTTATTAGAAAAAACAGTAAGTAAAGAAGAATCTTTATTTTTGTAAATAGTTTTGTTTATTACCTTATTATCATTAGTCACTATCGGCCCACACACATTAAACTTACGATACACACGTTGTTGTACTGATGATGACATTATTGTTAGTATACATGAGTATAATAAAAAAATATTATATTAAATAAAAAAGCCATTGTGTTTTTAACTGCTTAGTTTTATTTATCTTTAATACGTTCATTAAAACAATCATGTATTTTCGTTTTATAGTTACATAAACACTTATTATTGCACTTTTGACCACTTTGTTTTATTAAACAATAAAAAGAAATATTAAAGCCATTTTTTATGTTAGATTTAAATTTTGATACATTAACACAAAATGGTGCAATGCATCCACCAGCAAGTATAACAAAAATTAAGTTATTAAGTGTGTTATCAATCAGTTCGCAACTAAGTATTTCTGTTATTGAACTAGTCACATCCGTGTTAATTTCCATAACCGTTAATGCAGAATCATATGGCACCAAATGTTTAAACAATGGCGACTCATTATAACAAAATGCAAATGACCTAATTAATTCATTACCAAATTCATGTCTTAATACTTGTTTATTGTTAAATATGCCTACAGAATAGGAGCTAATAAAAGGCAATGATGTGACCATTTTTTTGTTTACAATGTAATAATATATGTGCTAACAACAATACAGTTTTTTAATAAATAAATGAAAAAAATATAAAATGCAACTTATTTTAATATTTGCATTGTTAAAGGCCCCTATTAATAAAAACCATATTTAATTATTATTTGTTTGCCATGTATTTATCAAAATGACAAAGTATTTTTTCTTTATATTTACACAAACATTCATTATGATAGTTTTGGCTGGTATTTTTTTCTAAACATTGAAATGTAATAGTAAAACCAGGTTTATTATCGTGTTGTACTTTCGCCACATTAACACAAATGGGCTTAAAAAAACCCAAATTAAGTAAAACAAACATTAAATTTACTGTCATATACGTAACTATATTATAATTACTTATCTGTTCTATACTATCCTCTGTTAGTGTATTAAGTCTAATACTTATTACTGTGGAATCATAAATTAGCGAGTAATCAACATATTGTCCACTAGTGCAAAATATAAATGACCTAAAAAAGTCACAACCATATGAATGTCTATATACATTTTTATTATTAAACTTTCTTAGAACGATAGTACTTAGTAATGGCATAGATGATTCCATTTTTTTTGTTCACAACGTAATAATAAATGAGCCAACAAGAATACAATTTTTTTAATATATAAGTAAAAAAAAATATAAAATGCAATTCATTTTAATATTTGCATTTTTTTAAAGCCGCTATTAATAAAAACTATATTACATGTATATATTTAATCACTGTTTGTTTACTATATAATTATCAAGACGACCAAGTATTTCTTTCTTATATTTACACAAACACCCGTCGTGGTATTCTTGGTTGGTATTTTGTTCTATACAATGAAACAAAACATTAAAACCAGATTTATTGTTGCGGTGTGCTTTTACCACATTAATACAAATAGGTTTAAAGCACCCCAAACTAAATAAAACAACTAAATCAACTGTTAAATACGTAACTATATTGTAATTATTTATTTGGTCTATGCTATTTTCTGTCGATGTATTAATTCTGATATTCGCCACTGCGGAATTAAAAAACAGCGGCTGATTAATAGTTTGCCCATTAATGCCATATATATATAACCTAAAAAAATCACAACCATATGTGTGTTTTATTATGTTCTTATTATTAAACGTTCCTAAAACTGCAGTACTTATTAATTGCATAGACAATGCCATTTTTTGTTTACAATGCGCCAACAAGAATACAGTTTTTTAATATATAAATAAAAAATATAAAATGCAACTTATTAAATATTTGCATTTTAAAGCTATTAATAAAAACTATATCACATGTATATATTTAATTATTATTTGTTTGTTATGTACTTATCAAAACGACCAAATATTTCTTCCTTATATTTACATATACATTCGTTATGACATACTTGGTTAGTATTTTTGTCTAAACAATGAAATAAAACATTAAAACCAAGTTTATTTTCATATTGTGTTTTTACCACATTAACACAAAAAGGCTTAGTGCACCCCAAATCAAATCAAATAAGGACTAAATCAACTGTTGCATACTTAACTAAACTGTTATCACTTATTTGTTCTATGCTGTTTTCTGTTATTGTATTAAATCTCATATTCACTACTGGGGAATCAAAAAACAACGAGTAATTAATACCTTGTCCATCAGTATCATATATGTATGCCCTAAAAAAGTCACAACCAAACAAATGCCTTATTATGTTTTTATTATTAATCTCCCTTAAAACCGTGGTATTTATTAATGACATAAATGATTCCATTTTGTTTTTTTTTGTTCACAATGCGCCAATAAGAATACAGTTTTTTAATATATAAATAAAAAAAATATAAAATGCAATTTGTTTTAACTCATTAAGTTGCAGACTGTTGCAACATTGGCACTCCCCAAGTTGCAAGGAAAATGGCGAATTTTAGTTACTGTCGACTTCTGTCAACTGCTTTTACAAAAATACCCATATTTCAAGATCAATGTTATAAAAAACCTTGAAATTTTGCAGTGGGTTAAAATGATAAATTATTAATCAATTCTATTTTAAATGAGCTCCCACACTTAAATATATCATTAGATTTTTGGGTGAGAATTCTTGGTTTGTGTAAATTTAAGT